CTGGGGGGGGGAGGGAGGGGGCGCAGCTAGTGCGCCTCCCTCCCCCCTCCAGCAGACCAGGCTTTTGTTGCAGGACGCCTGGGGTAGAGCAGGTGGGGTGCTGCCGGGTTGGTCCTGCGGGGACCTACCCGGCAGTGCCCCAGCTGTTCTGTCCCAGGAGCCCAGATTCAGCCGCTGTTGAAACTGATCAGCGGCTGATTTCAGGAAGTCGGGGGCAGAGCAACTCAGCCTAGGGCTTCCTGTAGTCAGCCGCTGATCAGTTTCAGCAGCGGCTGAATCTGGAGCCAGTTCCGACTTACATACAAATTCAACTTAAGAACAAACCTATAGTCCCTATCTTGTACGTAACCCGGGGACTGCCTGTATTGCATTTTATTAATAACAGCAGGACTGACTTAAATGTGTAGTCTTGCCTTAATCTTTATATTCATGCCCGTCAGTGTGAAAGAAGCTATTTGCATATATATTTGCATGTACATGCAACCACACAAGTTTCGGCCCTCGGCATGTGCTGTGAGTATCACTGTGGCCCCCAGGGCTTCCAAAGTTGAGTAGCCCTGACCTAGGGGCTGTAGGGACATGGCAGCTACTTCCAGGAGCAGCACAGAGCCAAGGCAGGTCCCTGCAGTGGCACCAACTGGCCTTTTAACTGGCTGGTCAGTGGTGCTGACCAGAGTCACCAAGGTCCCTTTTCAAGCAGGTGTTCCGGTCAGGAGAATGGAGGTTGTTAGTGTGAGAGAATTAGAGAGAAGCTGGAGACAGTGAGATGGAAAAAACACATCAAGCAAGGACATGAGCCAGGGACATGGTGCTGTTCTGGTTTGGTTAGAACTGCTTTAAGCAGGGTTTGTAATGAGTGTTTTTGAGGATTGTGAATGTTTTATTCCAATTTCTATCAATATTGATAGCATGGGCAGGGCCTGGGTTCAGATGTTAATTTACATAATGTGTAATGTAAAAGGCCAATAAGGAGGTGCAGGAAATATAATTCTGGTAAGGGGCAGTGTGGTAATGGATTACAAAACCGCCTGTTCCGCATGGAGCCTGCCCCTGCAGCAGGTTTCCTGCGGAGGGGAAGGGGGGGGGAAGGTTTGTCTGTCTAATTGATACTACAGGCCCCCTGGTGCAGGGACTGTGTCTCCATACCTGGGTTAGGTTTCTCATCCCAGCCCAAAGCTACTGTCACATGGGCAACCACATTTCATGTGAAAATCCAAAGTGTTCCTTACGGAAGCAGCACCCCCGGTATCCTTTGTCCCTACTGCCTGCTCAGGGATGGGTAGGAGAACTGGGGGTACTGCTTTTCTGTTGGGAGGACCAGATGGACCCTGGCACAGTTCTCAAACTACTGGCCCCTTCAACTCCTCCCTCTAAAAAAATAGGAGATGCATCAATGCTGACCATGTCTCCACTTGCAAAGTTGAAGACTGATCTTCTGGCGTTTGATTTAATGAGTCTAGCAAAGACCCACTAAATCTGTGGTTCTCAACTGGTTGTCCATGGTGACTTGGACAATGTTCCTGTGGACCACCGAAAAAGTCACACGGCATGAGCAAGCGCCGCCGTTAGGCTGTTTTACGCCGTGTTCACAAGCACGTGGCGTGTCATCCATAGCGTCACCTAGGACGCAACCGCGTTGTATTGCCAGTAACTTCCATCTGAGGCTCTGAGCGTCAGTGTAACTGCTGCCGTTGTGCTGAGCGGTTGCTGTGTCGTTCGTCTTGTGCTACATGCGCTGGAGGTGGTCCAAGAAAATTTTTTGATTGGCCTGGTGGTCCGTGGACTGAAATGAATTGAGAACCACTGCACTAAATCGAATGTGGATGGTGCTCCTGGTCGACGCTGGTACTTCTGGCAGTCGCGAGGAATAAGAGAAGCCAACAGAAGCATTTGCTCCCGTTGACCTCCCATTGTGAAGACAACGCCAAGCTCGGCTTAAGGTATGTTGACTCCAGGTATGTTAAGCCAACCTTCTGGGTCTAGCATAGACGTGGCCTCAGCTTGGACAGATCGTTTGGGGTGTGGTTGGCAAGGCTGACGGAGAACACTGGACTGTAAAGGGTAAGGGCATGTGAGAGTTTCTTGGCTTTGGAGTGTAGTAACTCTTTCAGCTCCTTGCAATGACCATATAATTAGCTGTGTGTTCTCACCCTAGGTCTTACTGCTGACTAGGTGCCTCCGTCCAACTGAGATTTGGTTTCCCCACAAGGGATAAGCTACATTTCTCACATGACTAGCTCCCGCCTGCTTTTCCCCATCTCTCTGGGTCTCTAGTGTTATTTTTCTCTCCCCTCTGCAGTATTTACAGCACTGACTAAGTACAGAGGAGACAGACCAGCTCTGGCAATGTATCTATTCTAGTAAAAGTCCTTGTTCAGTGCTAGAAGAAAATGGCTCTGCCATTCTTTCCCTTGCTGCACCAGACTATGTTGAATGCCTACCACAGACAGCAAAGAAGCAACGGTCAATCTATCACAGGGGTAGCCGTGATACCTGCAAAAGCGACAAGGAGTCCTGTAGCACCTAATAGACGAACAGATGTATTGGAGCATAAGCTTTCATGGGCAAAGACCTGACGAAGTGGGTCTTTGCCCACGAAAGCTTATGCTCCAATACATCTGTTAGTCTATAAAGTGCTACAGAACTCCCTGTTGCTTTTAAAGGTCAATCTAGTAACTTGTGTAATGGAAAGTGAAACTGAAAATACATAGAACACCTTTGCCTCCATTGAGAAAGGAAGCGTGTTGGGGTAGGGAGCCTTTGTTGAGTCCAGGGCCACAGAAAATATCAGTCGGGGCCAGACAAGTGATAAGCAGGAAGAATGGAGGGGAGGCATCGAGGCTCAGGGCTTGCCCCCAGGGCCAGATTAACTCTTCTGGGGGTCTCAGGCTAGTAGATTTTGTGGGCCCACTCTGCTGAGGGCTAAAATGGAGGGGTTCTCAATGTGCGGGAGGGGACTGCTGGGAAGCGGCGGGGTGGGTGGGGTCTGGGCGGGAGGTAGGGTGCAGAAGGGGAATGGGAGGGTATGTGGGATCTGGGACACCTACCTGGTGCAGTTCAGATGTGGGCGGGACGGGACATAGCTGCCTTTGCCTGGCAAGGTCTGCAGGGGGCGCTCTGCTGCAGTGCACAGAGCTCTTTCCTCCCCCCTGCAAGGCAGAGTCTACAGACTCGGCCCATGGGCCGTAGGTTCGCCACCCCTGCTTTTACCAAAGGCCCAGAGAGCATGGAAGCCTCTCTCAAGAGCCTCTAGGGAGGAGCTGAGTAGCATCTGAACGCAAGATCATCTTGGCATTGGAAACAAGGAATGCTGAGGAATAAGGGGAATGGCGCAGCCCCCGAAACAACTCTGCTTCTCATTGCTTCCCTGTGGAGCTGGCTTCCCGTGAGCGAGGGAGGGTAGGTGTGAGCGCAGCCTCCCAGTCGTTACCATTATCCCACTCCTCCTCCACCTCAGGAAAGGTCATAGCCAGCCGGGATCTCCAGTCCCCCCCCTCCGCCTGGCGCACTGCTCTCTGCCATTGGAACTCTTCCGCCGGGTTTCAGCCCACACGGCAGTGCCGTAGCCAAGCCACATCCCATTAGACTTCAGACTACGCTGCCCTCAGCAGTAAGGGGAAAAGCTTTCCCTTCGGCCACTACCACGGACCTCAATAACGTCACCTGGACCCCTGCACCTGACCCAATTCACTCACACGTCCTGCTCAGAGCCCTGCTTCTCAGCCAGCCCCACCTGGCTACATCTGCTTCCCCAATTACCGGGACCCGTCCCGCTAAGAACTCTACACCCGACAGCCCAGCATGCGGCTCCCACCTGTACGTAAGGCGAAATCAGTGAGCACAATCCCCTCTGCTGCATTGCTAGCCACGCAGTTACTGCGGCAGGCCTTGCCCTTTGTCCTCTCCCCTACCCCATCTTCTTCTGCCATCCCTTGCTGGGCCACTGCTGTTTTCACAAGGCAGGGAGCTGGCAAAGCATTGTGGGAATCTTAAGTCATACTTTGCAATCCTACTTCTGGAGCCACCGGGGTTTGTTGCCGCACAGGGATGAAATCAGAGTGACAAAGGGCTGGCAGGTTGGACTCCAGGGACTCTTTCTTCCTGGGAGTTATGGGGGGTAAGCCAATATAAGCACTACCTCTTCCCCACCCTAGTGCCATCTAGGCACACTGCACTGCACTCAGTTTTCTTCAAGCCCCCCACATCCTGACCTTACCTGTCAGCGTCAGTCACCAGGGCCAGGCGTCCATAGTCCCAGGCTACTTTACGCAAGATTGAAAAGACAAACAGCAGTGCCTGCAAAAAGAGCCAAGAAGAAACCATGAGACAAAGCCCCACTAGCTGGTGGATCTGCCCCCCACGCCCCGCCCCATCTGCCTGACACAGCGAGAATAACGGCAGGGCACAGAGGAAGCAGCTTGTCTGGCTCATGTGGTGTAAGGAATCAGGCCTTCTCGCCCAGGTGCAGCTGCAAGGCCTAGGAAGGGAGAAGAATCCAAGGCGCCATCACAGCTTAACCGGCCATGAGGGGTGGCCGCATTGCGGAGCGGCAGCCAAACGCACGTGTGAGTTTGCTGCCGGTTAGCCAAAGCTTCCCAGAGGCCTGCTCTTGTTGTGGGGAGGGAAAAGGCACGGCAGGAAGTGGGTGTGGCCACTGCTCTACCAGCAAAGCTCTGCAGGGTGGCAAGATTCCCGCTAAGCTGCACAGCAGCACGGCCCCACAGCTGCTTACTGAGCCCGGCCATGGAGCCGCCCGGGGGGGGGGGGCACTTCTCTCTCAGCTACAGCAGCAGCCCCCTGCTGAGGCCAGAGCGGTGAGTCTCTCCCAGACAGTATCCCTCCCCCAGACAGGCAGCTCCGTGCCCAGCTGCCCTGAGCCCCTGGGCAGGGCTCATTAAGCGGCTGCAAGGCCGTGCTGCCACGCAGGTGTGAGGGAACCTTGAAGGGTGGCCATCCCATTTGATGGGTAGGGGGATACAGGGAGCACAGTCCCTGCAAGCAAGGACCCAGGTGAGTGGGTCGTGCTGCGTGTGAATCCAGGAGAGGAAGGGTGTACTTCTGAACTCCTGGGACTCCCTGGGGGCTGCTGTTGTGTCCATGCTGGCTGCAGCCCTGCAGCTCCTGGCAAGGCATCAACAGGGCCCTTGTTTGGGCACCATGGCAGGCAGACCCAGAAAACGGGACTGAGAGATGCAGGACTGCCCACATCTGAGCTCTGGAGTGAGTCTGTAGCATTCTCCTACCAGAGCTCCTGCCCCCACTGCTATGCTGCTCCCAGAGCGGCTGGAACGGCCCTGCTTCTTCCTCGGAGAGAGCCCCACAGCTGGGCTTGGCATCATTCCCCTGCCGCTGATCCTGTCCCAGTCTGGAAATGCCTCTGAGCAGAGGCCGTGAGGGGGCAAGCCCACCACAGGCAGTGTGTGCCCACAGCCTACATGGACGCTGGCCACACCAGAGAGGCGGAGCCGGCCCAGAGGCTCCAGATAAAGGAGCTCTGGATTGGTGGATGTCATTAGCCTTGAGCCTAGCCCTGAATGGAGGCTCCACAGGAATGGCTGCTGGGCGATGCCCAGGCAGAGCACAAGCACGTCGGGATCAGCTCCCCAGCCTGAGGGACACGTCTGTGTCCACACACACAGCTCGAGACTGTGTTTGTCTCACCCCTCACACTGGGGATCTGGTCCATGCCTAGGGCTCCTAGGCACTGTGGTCATACAAAGCAATGAACGTTATAGGTGACAACCTCGCCTGCTCTCCAGGGCACAAAGAGATGAACCTTCCCGCCTCCCGAGCCCTGATTTCACTAGTGGAGTTTAAGCCATCTGCTCTCAGACTATGCAGGAAGCAGCAGAAGAATCAGAGGGGAGCTCGGGGCTGGCAGGGCAGGAAGGCCCAACGGCCTTGGCGTTAGTTGTGTCTATTCCTATAGATAGCCCTAGTGCCCACCCCAAACTAGGGATGTAACAGAGTTGTTGATTAGCTGATTAAACAATAAGCAAAAGCTTACGGGTTAATGCTACAGACTGCTCACATTTAAATGCAGAGCCCCAGTTGGGGGGGGGGGGGGGGGGCATCTCCCCCGCGC